CAAAGCCCCGCCCCCCCGGCCCCTCACGCCCCCCGCCAGGCTGGGTTTACCCTTTATTAAATACAGCCCGGCCGCAGAAGCCGGTTTATTCGTTCTCCTCGCTGCGCAGTCTGGCGTTGGGGTTGGTGATCTTGATGGCGAGCTGGGCCGCTCTCTCCACAATGACCTTGCGGTTCTTGGAGGAGACGTTGTGGGCGATCTCGGCGCAGTACGACCTGTGGGGAACAGCGCGCGTCAGCCTCAGCGCCGGCAGTGCCGCAGCAAAGCTCTCCAGAGCTGACCTGCGGACACAGCCAAGCCACGCACCCCTCGTCCGGCCCGACCCGCTCCGGGCAGCAGCAGCTCAGCCCCAGAGCTGCCGCAGCCTCCGCTTCTTCCCTTGCAAACAAGCGGTCGGTACAAGCGAGTTTTTAAAAGCGTTAATTGCTACTCTGATTATTTTGTTGTGCAAGTGTCTCAAGACAACTTGGGCCTGCACTCACTTGTTGCTCATCATGAGCACCTCCAGCTCTTTGACGTTGTGCACCAGGAACTTCCTGAAGCCCGTGGGCAGCATGTGCTTCGTCTTCTTGTTGCTGCCGTAGCCGATGTTGGGCATCAGGATCTGGCCCTTGAAGCGCCTGCGGACTCTGTTATCGATACCTCTCGGTTTACGCCAGTTGCGCTGCAGAAAAGGGGAAAGGAAATTATAGCTACAAAAGGGGATCAGTCTGAAAAAGCCTCAAGCTCCAGCCAAAACCAAGCTCCATGGAGGTCTCCGTTTCACACCGATCCCTCGAGCTTGACGTCACTCTCAGCCCCAAGGACAGCCCCGTCCCAGCACCCCAGAATTCCCTTTGCACCAAACTTCCAGCAGCTGCTTACCTTGATCTTGACATAGCGATCAGACTGATGGCGGATGAACTTCTTGGTCCTCTTCTTGACGATTTTAGGTTTCACGAGAGGTCTGAGGGCAGGCATGGTGTCTGAGAAAACAGAACCAGTGTAAGAGGGGCAGCCCGGCACAGCGGTGGCGTTGCAGCGCGTGTCGCAGACGGATCTTCCGCTCGCGGGCCACGGCGGAGGCTGGCGAGGGAATGGGTGTTTGTCTGCAGTGCCTCTCCCTCCCGTTTCCGAAGCTGCAAGAGCACTGAGAGCTCTCCAGATGCGGTCCTGGGAGGTCACGCGTGCCCCAACGATTCCACGGCTGCGCTCGCAGGCGCCGCGCCCCCACCCGCCGTCCTC